GTATATTTGAAGAGAGCTTTATTTATGTCATTTTGTTTGGTAGGGGCTTGAGGTTTAGGTTGAAAGAAGATAATATTAAATTCCACAAACCTTACAAAACCATAAAATATTTATGTCTTGACTGAAACGTAAAATCCATTGGATTACTATATTCTTCTAACACCATTGTATTTGTCTCTCTACACTGCATCGTCATCCTTAAGGACAATGGCATATATAGGTACATCACAAGCATGTAATTCTAGAATTCTTTTGGAAGCTACACTGTGTTTATTATATGAGAACATGGAGGAAAAGGAATCATGGGTTTGCATTCAATATTACATGAAACATGAGGTCTCTACTTACCCAGAAATACAAAATGAAGAAGACACAGCACACAAAAGATGTGTTTTCCCTTTTGCACTGATGTCAGATGAGAGGGCAAAGGTCTCTAAAATTAAGGTTAGAAATAACTACTCGAGATCAGATATAAATGGCCTATTGTCAAACGAAACATATAAATCAAATGTTTGATGAGGCTCAACTTTGTCAAAGTTATGAGAAGTTTGTTTTGGTTTATACAGAAACGCTGAACAAGTTTTGAAGTCAAATCATATGTTGTTGCAGCGCAGGAGATAGTTAATGGTGGTCAAAAGAGGTGCGTGGTAAGTCGGTTACCGTTGATCCTGTTGGGTTGTGATTGGATTTGGATAATTTTGCCAATAAATATTTAGGCCAATGCCGATGCGGCTCCAACAGAAAGCATTACTTGCTTGCAATTGAAGCTATACTGTGTTGACTAAATTGTGCAACCCTCCGTTGAGTGTTGACTATAAATACAAATACATGTTTTCAAAACATTTTAATACCTCGGTTGGGGGTCATTGATTTCTTAAATAAAATGAAGTGCTCAATTTATTTAGATAAAATGGATGTCGTCAACAATCAAAGTTGAAAGACAATTTATTTAGATCGGGTTTTTTGACCCAGTCCAAAATGCCCAGCTTTACTAATCATTCAAAACTTAAATCTTTGTTAACATCTAGTAAAACTTATAACCTCAATCTCACGACTCAATGCGTGACAAGTCTATCCTGTTCTAACTTTTATATACCCTTAATTCAGCACTACACTAGAATTGTACAACCGAATCTTTACTAGTTTCTTCTCTGCTTGAATGGCTTTCCATCATCGAGTTGTCAGCTTCAACCGTCTGATGGCTTCCTTCTCAGGGAATGATTTCCAGGAAAATCAATCAACTTTCCCCAAAGCTATGATGAACTGTGATTCTGTGAAAATGGTCAGTCATTAGCTCCATGAAAGCTTCCTCTTCATCCTATCCATTGCTAAGATTTAAATAGGAAATAAGTAAATAAATAAAACAAAGGGGGAGAGAAGAGAGAGACAAAAGTCTTGGGATTTCATTCATGATAATGCATAATGTGAAAATATAGGAAATGACATAAAAAATAGGAATGTAAACTTGAAATATCACTTTGAGAGATATAACATTACTTGTTAAAATGTAATACAGGTCAGTCAATTGAGTCTTACCAAATGCCCCTGAAAATGAGGCAAGAAACAAGGCCTAATCATCCTAGCTGCCCAGACTATAAGAACCCATGTATCCTTTCCAAACAAAATACACCAGCACAAATTTATGAGGCTCTGATACTGAGAAAGACATGAGTGCTAATAGAAACTTAACTACAGGGAAATCTGATGAGAGCAAATCCTTGGGGTTTTTGAAGCTCAATAGTTCCATTAAGTTGCAATTTCATTTATCAAGACTTCAAGACATTTTTGTGAAAACTTGCTTCCACGGCATCAGAACAATTTCAAAAATGTCAATTAAGAGGTAGAAATTAACATGATCTGATTATATTGCAAACGATCATTACATTTGCTTGAAAAGAAATCAAGGCCATAATTTGTAAGTAAATAAGGATCAACATCCACATAATCTGTAAGTCACGGAAGAAAATTTAGTTAACCACCTCTGAGGGAAGCTTTGAACATCCACAAAAAGTCCAAAGGCCTCTTCAGCTTATAGAAAGCCTGTACACCTAAAATTTTGCCACAAGGAAAGTTGAAAACATCAAACAAGCTGAATGCTATAATTAAACCACATTTTTTTTCGTTCATTCGATCTCACCAAATAAACTGAATGGTCTGAACCTGCATCAATTAGTGGAAAACAGAAATGCTATATCCAGTTTTAAGCAAATTACAGCCAGCTCTTAATCTTCTGCCACAACCTACCAACCAATTATTTTTGCCGCTATCATTTTTCCCCATTGAAGCGATATGTGAGAATCTTGATAAAATACAATATCCACTTGTCACAGAATAGAATAGCATATGCAAACTAACTATTATTACTACTAGAAGAGTGGTGATACCACATCAACATAATCAAATCTTAAGCTCCATCCATTCTATGGGAAAAGACTCAGCTGAACCATGTGCTAGACCTGCAACAATCAAGGCCCCTATTTTTATTTCTAGTTCTTTTATTCTGATCTGGCACAAAAAAACATCCCAATTCCATCAATAGAAGTCTATAATCCAAAGACCAACTTGATACTCTATATTCCAGTAGAATGCAGACACCAGCTAGTGATGAACATGGCTTAGAAAAAGAGACCAGTTGGTTGACTTAATTAATTAACACCAGGGTACATTAAATTCTCAAACATTCAGTCAATAAAGCTTTCTCATCTGTAAAGGATATGCAAATTCTTGTCATGGCAACAATATCAACTCCTTAAAGTCCAGAGACATCCTAGCTCCTACAAAATTACAGACTCAAGAAGATTAGACATACAAACTTTAGTGGCTGGCATGAGCATGAGTGAATATACTCATCTGCATGACAAGCATGATGTCGATGACAGTACAATGTCATTATAACCAAGAACAAGCAACAGTGCCCCTTCTCTCAATCCATGGCTAGAAGACAAACACCACAAGCACTAACTATAAGGTCAAACATTATACTACTGTGTCATACATGGACGTGACAGATACCCACCAGTTAACAAACCTAACAACAACAACCCCTCAAAGCTTCACTTAATAATAAGCATTGAACAAGGTCAGTCATAATGTCCCCAAATTCATCATATATGCACTTTATGGCAGAAAATTTTGCATTTCTTCAGTAGATGTAATATTCAGTCAGTTGATGGTCTCACATCTATAGACAATAAGTGAAATTGGATAGAGAGATAGATCAAGCATCACATACTATATTACTTACCTTTTAGTGCCCGTGTGCAAACAGAAGTAGACACAATATTCAGAAATGATAAAACTGGCTCGGTGAAATGCATTCGTTAGTGACAAAGATCTGTTGCACCAAAACGTAACAAAGGAACATCGACCAAAAGTATGAACATCACACAGATATACAATATCCAGCGATCCATACACTACAGTAACCTAACTGGCAAACACCTGCCAAGCAATAGTCACGAGAGAATACCCATTGCAATAATCTACCTTCTAAATTTGAGATCTAACTGGGAAGCACCAGAAGGGATCTTCGCCAACACTAATAGATATATCCACTGAGGTAAAACTTAGAAAGAAAAAAAGCACACCATCATCCCATGTTATACTGACTTCTAAGAGTTCTGCAAAATCAATACTAGAAGAGTCAGATTTTTTCCCCTAAAATGATTTCTGGCGGTACTTTGTTTAATGCGAAAAACTTATTCCCTCTCCAAATAGTATTTGTTGAAGCTCACTGAACCAACCTTGGACTTATTTCCAAAAGCTTCTAAAAATTTGATGAATACTGAATTATCAAGGTTGCAAATAATGATCGTATAATCTAAATAATTAAACTCCACAAACAACATTAGTTACAAATTATATCAAAAATCAGAGCTAATTAAAAATTGATCTTAATATATACATATATAATTTTTAATGTTAAAAATTAAAGAGAAAAAATATCAAGACCTAAAAAAAAAGAAAAGAAAAAAAAAAAGATGATATAAACAAAATCGATAAAAATACCTGTAAACGTTAGAATCATGTATGATAACCGATAAAATAATGAAAGAAAAGAAGAGAACTAGATCCAGCCAAAGTCAATCTAGCTTCAGCACACCAAAACGCCTTCCATCTTCCGCTCTTTACCCTCGTCCTTCTGTCGCCAATGGCCGCCTTCCATCTCAACAATTTCTTTCAAAAAACAAAATTATTGGAAACTAAAGGAGGGAAAAAAATTAATAATAAAATAAAAGTGGCTCCTTTCCATCCAAACAATTTCTCGGAAAAAAAAGAAAAAAGAAAAAAAACTACATCAGACCGAGGGAGAAAAAATGAATAGAAAAAAAAAGGGAGCCATCTGCGGCAGAAAGATGATGGATAGATGCGAAGATGGTAAGGCGCTGGCTAGAAACTAGATCAACTTTGACAGTCTCGAGTTCTCAGTTGCTCCTTCCCGGTACTTCATGATGTTCAGTTCACGCCTTCTACCAATTTCTATTCTCCTTTATCTTTTAACATTATTTTATCTTCTTCTTCTACGTGTACAGCAGACTAGCAGAGACAGAACGTTGGCTTAGCACATCACAAGTGTCTTTTCTGTATGGGAAAAAGGAACCCCAAAACAAGAAAAGAAAAATACCAATCATTTTTCACACAAAAAAAAAGAATATATTACGTCACTTCGTATACCAACCACAAGTAAGACTATGTACTATATCATTGAAACTGGAAGCTGGAAATAGATAGTTATTAAAAGGAGCCCAAATATATTAAAACAAAGATCACCTTCCATTAATTAAGCAACACAAATCCATCATACATTCCAAGATAGATAAATAAATTACCAAATTCAAACAAAAGCCATACAATAATGGATAAACCATTAAGATCGAAAAGATCTATACTTATTTCACCGATACAGACACAACTGACAAGGACAAACAGAGTTGACAAGACAAATGAACTAGCGGCGAAGAGGCCGAGGAGTGCGCGCAGCAGATGAAAGCGCCGCCAGATCTGCACAAGAGACAAGACAAATCAGAAATTAACCCATATGGGCTTAACAACACGAATGTGCTTAACAAAGTAACAAACAAGATTTGTAAAGCCCATATATAATATACCTTATGCGAGGTCCTCTAAACCCCCTCCTGCCCAGCATCCACACGCCCTGATAAAAAGACACGACGAAGACATCAGAAATGGTTAACGAACAAAAAAGAAAATGAGAAATTGTTATAATAAATTGGGTGCGGAAACAAAACCATCTTGGAACGCCTTGAATGACCAATCCTCCATCTTTATTTCTGCCGCAGATGACTCTCGAAAAGTTGATGACTTCGCGTGGAACCAATCCAACACCTGCACCAACTCCATCGACGAATATCATTATCACCTCGTGCCTTTCTGGGTTTGTGTCGTTGTAACGTAAATCTGAGCGTGGTATATTCGCCCTCGCACCCGCTCTGATTCTAATGATCCTCCGAAAGTGGTCTGGACGCGCTGGGGATCTAAAGAATCTCAGTTGAAGCTCCACACCGGTATTGTTTTCAAAAGTAGTAAGGTTCGCACCCATGGTATATTATCATTATTCCTCATAATTTAAGCCATGAAGATGTTTATATAGAGGTTGTCAACTTAGCTTGCACAGCCGTAGAAGTCCATCGTATATTATACATAATACGAATCCTGAATGCGACAAATAATAACGACAAGGGTATAATATATTTCTTTGTTTGGTTGCGTCGTTTCCCAGTCACCTCCCTCAGGTTTGGACTTTGGAGAAACCCGAACCAAACATCCTGGAAAACCTGTTTCTGCGGCTCTTATTGGGTTTCTGTGGGAAGGTTCCTCGGAGTTGCCCAAGATTAAAATAATGGAGAGAAAAATCTAGAGATGACGAACTATCAATGTAAGAGGTAGATAATGCATTTTTTTAATTTGACCAAGTCCAAAATGGAGGTTAGAATAAAGTCCANTTGGAGAAACCCGAACCAAACATTCTGGAAAACCTTGAAATATCCCTTAGATTTTCTAATGGACTCACCGACCTCCCTTGATGGCGTCATTTAATCCGAGGGTAACTAAGACAATTACAAAATATGAAGGGAGGTACCAAAATTTTCAAAAACTTGAGTTGGGTTTCTGCGGGAAGGTTCCTCGGAGTTACCCAATAATAAAATAATGGAAAGAAAAAGTTAAAGAGGATCGAACTTGCGGTGTAAATCTGATTTGATCAATGTAAAGGTAGATAATTCTTTTTTTAATTAGACTTAGTGACCCGTTGACCAAGTCCGAAATGGAGTTTAGATTAAAGTCCAAAATTAAAAAAAAGGGCAGCATGCAGATATGAAGAGGCGGACTCTTTAACTCTTAACTCCTAAGTCACACCTAACACTGCCAAGGCAGCAACGGCAACAGATACTAGCTTTAAATCTCATTTCATGCTTAATAATAATGTAATATAAATATTTTATCATCAAGGTGTTAAATTAGACTACGAAGACTATATGATCAGGTGACTAGTTTCAGAGTGAATGAAACCTGCATTTTATTGATACAAAATAAACAGTCCCAACTATGTTAAGAGGTTGAGGCTATTGAAACAAATACCTGTAAAGCATAGAATCTGAGATGATTGTGAATAAGATTATGTGAGAGAAAGCAAGAGAACTAAAAACAGCCCAAGACAATCTAGTCTCTGCCCGAGCGTCTTCCTTCTTCAATTCTCTACCATCACCTTCCTGCCGCAAATGACCACCTTCCACCTCAACAATTTTCTTGGGAAGGGAGCCATCTGCGGCAGAAAAGATGATTGATAGATGTGAAGAGGGTGAGGAGCTGGCTAAAAACTGAATCAACTTAGACAATTTCGAGTTCTCTGTTTCTCCATGAAAAGAAGAAATCTCCTTCACTCGTGCTTCTTTTCGTTCGAATCTGTTGCGGCTTTTGGTGCTTTCATTTCCGTAATTAGATCTTCTTCTAAGTTTATACCAGAGCTCAAACGGCTAGTTTCTGGAAGTAGCCGTTGGAAACGGCATGATTTGAGCCTTTTGGCTTTGAATAAATACATTATGTCAGTTTTTGATTCCAGACACGTGGGATCTCATGTTGATAGTGGCGCCTCCACTACGCAGTGTTTCAGTCATCAAAGGAGGATATATTAATATAATTATTATATTAGGATTTTTTATTAGAAGAAATATTGTTGCCTAGATTGTATCGACTTGTATATTTGAAGAGAGCTTCATTTATGTCATTTTGTTTGGTAGGGGCTTGAGGTTTAGGTTGAAAGAAGATGACATTAAATTCCACTAATCTTCCAACACCCTTGTATTTGTCTCTCCACACTGCATCGTCATGCACTCTGTGTTTATAGTTACATCACAAGCATGTAATTCTAGAATTCTTTTGGAAGCTACACTCTGTGTTTATTATATGAGAAACATGGAGGAAAAGGAATCATGGGTTTGCATTCAATATACCTGAAACATGAGGTCTCCATTTACCCAGAAATACAAAATGAAGAAGACACAGCACACAAAAGATAGTTTTCCCTTTTGCATTGATGTCACATGGACCAAAATGAGAAGGCAAAGGTCTCTAAAATTAAGGTTAGAAAAAACTACTCGAGATCAGATTATATATATATGGCCTATTGTCAAACGAAACATATTAACTTTGTTTGGTTATAAATAAACGTTGAACAAGTTTGAAGTCAAATCATATGTTGTTGCAGAGCAGGAGATGATCAATGGTGGTCAAAAGGGTGCGTGGTAAGTCGGTTACCGTTGATGTTGGGTTGTGATTGGATTTGGATAAATTTTGCCAATAAATATTTATGACCAATGCCGATGCGGCTCCAACAGAAAGCCTTGCTTGCTTGCAATTGAAGCTTACTCTAAAATACATTTGAGACGTGTTGACTAGATTAAGTGTAACCCTCCGTTGAGTGTTGACTATAAATACAAATACATGTGGAATACTAATAATAGTTTTCAGAACATTTTAATACCTCCGTTGGGGGTCATTGATTTGTTAAAATGGATTGTTCCATTAACATAAAACTTATTTTCAAGGCGTAAGCTATAGAAAATAATTTAAAAAAAAAAAAAAATCTGATTCAATGAACCAACAATCAAAGTTGAAAGACAATATATCTATGCTACTCTTCAGTCATAGGTTGATAGGCCCAAAAGGTTTTTCGGAGCAATCTGGTCTTTGCTATGCCCTTTATTGTGAATTATGGCCCACGCTTGTCGGGCTTGAAATGGGCCTATTTAGTCAGTCATAACGCTTCTTTGAATCACATTTATGCATAAGATAATTTTTATTTATTATTTTTTTTTTTTTTTAAGGGGTGTTTCGGTCAGTTTACATGCACTTTAACTAATTTTACGGTCTATTGAATATCCCACAAGCTCAAAGGACAAGGTAAGTCATAAATAGATGGAATACTACACCAACAACATTTCTAATAATCTTGACGTAATAGCTCGTAATTGGTCAGTTCGCAATTAATTAGTAGGACCTATGCGAGACTCATGTGAGACCTATTTTAAATTAATCAATTGTGACCTGCCACGTTAGGGTTGTGAGAGAAAGTTTGTGAGAAAGGGTTGTTGCCTTGTTGCTGTAGTATTATTCAAATATGGTAGATGGTCCTAAGATTCGAATCCAAAAAGTTAATTAAGAGAAAGGAACAAACCTTCTTGACCATCCTCCCAAGGCCTTGGGGTCAAAATAATTTCACTACCTTAATTTCGTTAACGTGGTAAAAAATTGTATATAATTTTTTTCTCCAGACAGAATCTTTAACTAGTAGATTAAAAAAACAATACAACAATAATAGTATGTTAAACTATACAAACTTTTATTTTAAAATATGTATATCTAACATTATTAATTGAAATTTTGTGTTTTAATAAGGTAAAAAAATTAACCTATTCGATTTAGATGTTTGTAAAATTACAATTTAAATCAATTAATCTACACAAGTAATTGAAGAGTTTGTATTACAAATATGAAATAATGAATGTATAAATTTCACTAGTAAAGGCAACAATTTCAAGGATCATATGAATATCGTTTCCCCTAAATATAGAAAAATTCTTTCTAGTAACCATGACAAGATAGCCCCGTCCTACTAGTTAATTTTTTTACTGCTTCAATTAAATTATCAGCGAGGAAATATGTAATATAGGGATTGTCAATTTAATCTAAATAAAAGAACAGCAACATCAACATGGATCTATACTAAATCCACAGCCATTGAAATTATAGCAGGGATAAAAACACCTGTAAAGTATATAAACCCTAAATGATAATGATCAAGAGAAAAGAAGAGAAGTAGATTCGGGCAAAGTGAATCTAATTTTTGCTACAAACGCCTTCTATCTTCAAATATCTCATCCTTACCTCTGTTGGATGGCGTCTTTCCCATGGTTATTAGTATCCTACGATACCTGATACGTATCATACGATACGATTCGATACAGATCGGCAACGATACGTATCAAAGAGTATATCTTAAACCTTTCGATACGTTGATATGTATCATACGATATGATACGTATTCGTTTGTATCCTAAAAAATATCGATATAAATCGATACGACTTTATTAACTTGGGCCAAACGCCCAAAAACATTTCGGGTCAAAACTGAGTCACCCAACCCGGTTCACTAAAACCTGTTCAAATTTACCCATTTTGCATGAAGAAAGTGAAGAGGAACATGTTTTGTCCATTTTACATGATAATAATAATACAAGTGGAGATATAAATATTGACATTGATTTTGAAAATGATATGAAAAGTTAAGAGAAAATGATATAGTTATTTTATTTTGTGATTAATTTTGATTATATCATATCATAATTTAAAATCAATAATACGACAAAATTCTTTAATTAATCTTGAGATGATATTAATTTTTAGAAAATTTTGATTATTTTATTAATTTTTTTTAAATACGTATCCTACGATACGATATGATATGCGATACATGATTTAAAAAATTAGATTTTCAATACATGATAGCATACGCAATTTGACAATCATGCCTCTTTCCCTTCCCATGAAATAATTTCTTGGAAACCAAACATGGGAAAGAAATTGAATAAAAGAAAAAGAAGCCATCTGCGACAGAGGTTAATTGATGAGTATGTGAAGATGGTGAGTCGTCACATAAAAAACTACATTAACTTTGACGGTTTCTCAGTGAATTCCTGCTTCCTCCACATCCTTTCCATAGCATTGCATACATATATATAAAGATTCAAACCTTGGAATTTCAGTCTATTTTTATCATCTTTCTTAATAATCAAAAAGCATTTAAATTTCATCTTCTTGAGAATTCCGTTAATTGCTTCTTTTAAAATTGTTTTCATGCATAAGAACAGATGCATACAGATAAATATCAAACATATAAACCTAAGATTCATTCCAAAGTCACTATTAACTATAAAATGTTTTGACTACCATGGACATGCATATGGTTCTGCCATCTGCTTGACAGCTCGCTTATGGCGCAAAGCCTTGAGCATGACTGAATCCCGTAGCAGAAGTATCATCCCATCGCCCCTCTCTCCCCTAAAAACTGGAAAATAGAATCACGAAATTGGCCTTGGCTTTATACGAAATAATTAAGATATACGGTTTCTCAAGGTAATTAATTAATTCAATTAAGGTAACTGATTCAGGGATCATGAGATTATCATTTCCCCTAAATATACAAGGGTTGTTTTTTTTTTCTGGTAACCATGATCAAATATTAAAGGTCTTTTCAATCTCAAAAACACAACAAAATTAAACAAGATTCATCAGTTCCTAAACAATAATGTCTTCCGAGGTCACATATATTTGCAAACGAACTGTGGTTAGCACAAAGCCAGTGCAGCCCGGAAAATACTACCACCTATCGGTTCTCGATCGCCTTATGGAGAAAAACCACTTGAGGATCGTTTACTATTACCGTTCTAAGGGTGGCAGCAAAGCTGGAGAGTTAACCGAGAAGCTAAAATTGTCTCTGTCAGAAGTGCTTACGTGTTTTCCTATTATCACTGGACGCTTAAAGAAGAACCCTGAAGGGCAATGGATGATTAAGTGTAATGACGCCGGAGTTCGAACGGTGGAGGCTAGAGCTAGAGGAAGCGTGGATGATTGGCTAACGAATTTGAATAGAGAGAAGGAGCTTAAGCTTGTTCATTGGGAGGACATGTTTCATAAACCTTACTTTTGGTCTACTTTTTATGTTCAGGTAATCCTAAATCAATTATTAATTAATTGAAAGTAGCAATTGGGTTTTACAAATAAAATTAATGGTATAATGTTTTCATTGCACAGCTGACCGAATTTGAAGAAGGTGGACTAGCGATTGGCTTGAGCTGCTTTCACCTCCTTGCTGATCCCATTTGTGCAACCATGTTCATCAAGGCCTGGGCTGACACAACCTTGGCCCAAATCATGCTCACTCCGCCACATATCCACCCTCTTCCTCCACGAAGAATTGGTAACATGAATCCAAACCACAAGCACCACACCGCCTTAATCAACCATTACAAATCCTCGATTGAAAGATCAATTCCATTCGACACTACAAAGCATGTTACTGTTACTCTATCATTTACAGACCCTATGGTTCGAGCTTGCATGGCCCTGGCTCGAACCCCTGGTGCATTAGACATGTCAATCCCATCACCCTTCGCTGCACTGGCAGGGCTCTTTTGGGTTTGCGTAAGCAGGGTGAAAGGAATTACAGAAGGGCTCATAAACATGTCCATATGTTTAGATATGAGAAAGGTACTAGGCTTAGATAAAGGGTTCTTTGGAAACTGCATGGTTTATAACAAGGTTCATGCAGAATCATTTGATAAGAATGAATTATCAGGAGCGGCCGACGCTATAGGAGAAGTGGTGAGGAAAATGGACAATGAAGGAATCATGGATTTGATAGAGTGGCTGGGACAAAATGATAACCAAATATCTCCTCCTTCGATGAACGGTTGTGATCTTATTTGTGCTAACCTAGAGGGTTTGGATTCATATTGGACGGTGTTTGTAGAAGGGTTTGCACCGAGTCGAATCTCTTGTTATGTTGAACCTGTACTAGGAGAAGGGCAGATTTTGGTGCTTCCATCGCCAACAAGAAAAGAAGGTCCATTGAGCAGAATTATCATGGTTACTCTCACTGAAGATGAGGTGGTTAAATTGTGTGAAGATGATCTTCTTCTAAGCTTCTCTCCAACTATATTAATGGGGATAAACAAAAATTAGCTTACTATATAGAATTGGTTTAAGTAAATTTTATCAGGAGAAGATTAGTGATACGAACTTATGCTCTGTGACTGATATATAATAAAACTCAAGGAAACATGCATTGTCATTAAGCACATTTTATTATTATTATTATTATTATTATGAGATCGCCAATTGAATTACCTGACCACATTATATATTGAATATTGATGAAAATACATAGCTTACTCGCTTTGAGCTTTGGGCTTAGTCCTTGGTTAGCATGCAAGTGTTGAATTAGGTTCAGCTCAAACTTGAAATAGAAGGGAAGAATTTTGTTAGAATTGATTAGGAAGCAAGCAATCACAAATTTAGACTTGAGTTGAGCTACGCTGCTGAAGTTGCTTTGAGAATCCAATTGTTGATACTGCATTTTGCTGATACTCTCGAATTAGTTCCAAAATAAGCAAATTATGAATACACTCGAAGATGAAAATGTATGCAATTGGATTGCAAGTGAGCAACAAATCCTACCTTTTTGTGCGTCGGAATTGCGGGAATCAGTTTTGCCGGCCGAAGCTGTTAATGGGAGAGACATTACAATATGGCTACCGGAAAGAAAATGTCAAAAACAAAAAGGCTCAAAGCATTGTGTTAGTGAGCAGTAAACTACCAATTATAAAGCATTGTAAATATATAGGCATTTGGAGACTGTGTGCGGATGGCAAGAATATCAGCCATGACATTTGAATTGGATACCTACAACTACAAACTCATAAACAAGTTTTGGATGACAAAGCAAAGACATAATTTTGATGAGTTTTAATTGTAAACAATTTTAGATCTTGCTCATGGAACAGGAGCATTCACTTAGCCACATAGAGACTTGTCGGTTTAATTGAACTCACTCAACTTTTAAAAAGGTATTAATATTTTATGAATTTTATAATTTTAATTCTATTTAACTTCATGTTGACCCCACAAAATAAATTAGTAATTAACACTTGTTTATCTTTTTTTTTTCTCTTCATTTCCTTTCAAATTATATTTTTCCTTTTGATTGGATATTCAAGAAAGACTACTTTTTTAGATTATAAGATAAAAAGAACCCACTAACTCAAAATTCTGGCTACTTACCTGAACAGGAGGCAAGTAAAAGTTTCATACATAATGCTAATCTCATTCCCAGATAACTTTTAAAGTTACAACTATATATATATATGGAGATGTCACATGTAGGATTCAACTCTACTTCTCAATGCATGGGAATGCCCAACCCCCATAACCCACCATTTTTTGCCAACAAAATATAAATATTCTCTTTAGGTTTTATTTCTATTTACATAACTTCAGATTTCAGATACCTCAATGTTGGGATCACTCAGAGGAAGCAACATTAGCATCTAAATAAATAAAATTCCTTCTTTCAAATCAGGAAAGCCGCCCAGGAGAAACCAATGAGACATTGACGTGCAATGAACAACAAGGGTTGATTGATTTAGTCAAGCCATATGCACAGCCTCTTCAGGTCCAGCTTTGTTGCAGGCCATTGATTATTGTTACTTGTAGAAGAAGACTTTGTTCAGATTTTTATAATATGTTTGATCATCAGGTTCATCCACATTGATATTTTCCAAGTTCCAAAGTTGGTTGTGGTCTCCATCAAATCCCATTTAAATAAGCATTATGACCTGTGAAGTTTTATCTCCAGCTCACATATAAATACAAATGAAGTACAGTACGTTGAACCTGCTCCATTTTTTTCCTTTGAAATCCTGAAACCGTTTCCAAAAGTCAACCAACTAATTACTAAAGTGAGTGGTTTAGCACCCATTTGACCTACAAAATTGATTTGGCCCGTGGCTAAGAGTAAGAGACCCAGTCCCCAACCAAAACTCTGACGCTACCCTTTTAACAAATTTAAGAAATTAAAAAACTTGAAAAGATTAATTTAAAATTTTAAAAAACATGAACTAAAACTTTGAAAAGAGACTGTAAAATGAAATATAATATTATAAACATTAAAAAATTAATTGAAAGTTTTTAAAACTAGAAAATATATGCGTTTGCCGGGAGTCGAACCCGGGTCTATTGCTTGGAAGGCAATTATCCTAACCGTTGGACTACAAACGCTGTTGTGTTAGTATAACAAATTAAAAAGTTTCAACAACTGTGAAAGAGCAATTGACTTACAAATAATACACACTTTTCACTGACTTTCTCCCACAAACGCGATATGTCAGTTCGTAATTGATCAACTCGCATGGGTCCTGTTTATCTAACAATGGATCCCGTCTGACCAAGCCAATTGCGAACTGTTACATAGGGTTAGTGAGAGGTGTTAGTGTGGGATATTTGTGAGACTAGTATTATTGTTGCCTTAAATGTTTGATTAATTAGAAATTAGAAAGGAAAACAACAAGATTTGAGTATAATTTAAAGGTGTCATGATCAGGAATTTGTTAATGAAGATGTGGTCACTGATTAAATAGTCAACATGGCATGAACTTGATTTTGGAAGCACATTCAGAAATTAAGCAAATTGTTGAGAGCAACTTGCTACCTATTAATTCTACTATTATTATCCAAATTGTTTGAACTCTACTTTACAATATGCTCTAATCATGTAAAGGAATCTCCTTTAATTTCATCAACTTCATCCAATTTGGTTTTCTGTTTTTTTCTTTGCAGAAGATGCTTTTCCTCTAAACAGATCAATCTGAACAAAAAGTCAAGCAACAATCTTCTAATATTCTTAATCCTAGCTACAATAACGTCATTCCTTCACTTAGTGTAATGTTCTTGAGCTTATTTTATGCAGCAATTTGAGTTTATAAACAAAATATTGATATATTATTTTGAAGTTGATCTTATAAAACCCGATTGATACCTTAAAATTTCCCGTTTGACTCACAATAAGCTTTAAAATATTCAAAAGTTAGAATTTGGAAGTGGTTAATTGATGTGATATGTAACAATGGGACGAAATATGTTTTTATCACAACACAGAATTTCCCTTCATCAAGATTCCATCAACAGCATTTGGAATTTAGCTAACATTAATTATACCCTTCTCTCCATTTCGTCTTTATCTTCATTTACTTATTTTTATTGCGTAAACGATTTTTCCCACCCAAGGTTTGTCTTAATAACACTTTCGCACCCGATAATTTTAAAATACCACTTTCTCATCCAAAATTTATATACTGCTAGTATCTAAAATATATTTCACTTCATCAACCGGAGTTCGACGAGTTACCAAGAGCCAAGGTAAGAGAGGTTTTGTAGAATAGAGGTCAGTGGAAAAGTGGTAGTTTGAAATTTTTCAAGTGGGAAAGTGTCATTAAGGCAAACCTTGGGTAGGAAGTGGGACAGATTTATTTGGCCTCACGCAACCAATTTAGATGCGATGTACACTAAACACTTCAGCAACAAAATAACAAAATATATTTATGAAATTTTTTACTGTTGATCGGAGCAACAGATTTTCTCCGGGGCTATGGGGATTTCGTACACATGGGGACATTATATTATCATCCAGTATGTCTTTCATGTTTGAATTTCAATTCAGGAACAAGTACTGTCTTCATTTTCATCAGTACCTCAGATTAAAATTATTCAAGTTGGGATTTCAAAGAAACAACAATTAATTTTAGACACATGTTACAAATCTAACCAATGGTAATTTAATATTTATATATATAGAACTTTGCAAACTTCAAGTAACAAATTAAAAAATGGGAAGGATATATTAAGATTAAATAAATAAACCATTAACCTGATTTCTGCATATATTGGTTTATGTTTGGATAACTTCTGTGAATTAAATACTGTATTAGTCTCTAAATTGAAAGCCAATTACCAGATTCTTAAATACGAGTATTTCAAGACTGGATACTTACAGTAAATGAATTACAGATTTCAGAAGTGTATACTTGACAAAACATTGATTTGATCGAAACACTGGAGTCATCAATCTGTCATATTATTTAAAAGCTTTTACTTAAAAAATAAAGAAAATGAAAATCAATGTACATTTAATTCTGGAGATTCTGTGCTTAACTTAATTTGGTTTCTGGGGAAGGAAGGGATATGTATGAGTATGATGTTAGGTAAAAAAACCACATGGGAATGGATACATGCATTATTGAATTATATTATTTAGAGGCAAGATCTCACTGAGGGATTCACTATGTCCTCAATCAATCGATGCAACCGTTGAGTTTGAGCCCTAATTTTGACTTGAGAAATTTCATAAATGTATTCTTATTTTCTGCTTTTCTGGGTACATGTTACTCCTTTCAGTAGCATCTCCTCAACAAATATCTGATTTGACTTTTTAATTTATTTATATTCCCAGAACAAGAGCAAAAAAGATTAATCAAGCTCCCCAATACGACAAAGAACACACAAGTTTTGATGAAATATTTTTGTCTTCTTCATCTCTGTAAACAGAAAACCTTTTGGCAAAGAGCTGTTGGCTTGGCAGGACTTTGTCTAGAGTTCCCATTACAAATCAATTATAAGGTAATTATAAGGATTAAAATCTGAGTTGATTTGATCATGATTTCTAGAAATACGTAAAATGGATGGATGGTAGCATAATCATGCATGCACGTGCCTGGCGCATATTAGGTATTATGGAAAATATAAATAAATAAAATATGCTAACAAATCCAGTATGCAAGACTGTATGGGTGATTTAAGCAGTTAATAATGGCAGACTTCTCGGGATTATTTGCCTAAGTGAATCGTATTTAGTATATTACATCATTTTGTGCGGTGGAAGGAACGCTTGTTTTGTATGTATATATATATATATATATATATATATATTCTTTTTTCTTTCTTCATTTCTTTCTCTGCAGAATCTTTCCTTTTCTTTATTCATGGATTGTCTATTAATAAATTATTTGAGTCGGCAGCTAGTTCCACCTTTCAATGAGGATCTTGGACAGTTCAGAATTAATGGCAATGCAAATTTTAATATCTAAATTAACTATTCATAATCGGTGATACGAAAGTTAGGTGGAAGTGGA